TATGTAGTTCATTTCTTTTTTTAATCTTTTTTAACAACGCACGCACTCAACATAGCTCCGCACTAGGGAAACTCTGAGTCATAGACAATCACAAATTACACCCCAACTCACGAGATATAAATATAGACTATACAAATATTTCTACCGGTCCGGGTATAAAAGCTGGGACCTCTGCGTGGCAGTCCGGCATGGTAACCGTTCGGCCAAGGAGGCAGGATCATTCTTCAAATTAAAATAATTTGAAACGAAAGTATTTTGATCCGATCTAAATCGCGTATGTTGGGCTGTGACCACAGGGCCTTTAAATCACCTGAAACGTTGGTTTGTGATTTTTAATTAAATATTAGGGTGTTTCCTCAGTTACGTGCAAATTTGGAGATATTTCAAAATTTTAGAATTATTGTTGAAATGTTATAACTTTATGCGATTTTGTATAAAATATAATACTGTAGTCTAGTATATTATACTTTCATACTGTCAATAATTATGAAATTATAATCGATTGAAATATCGCAGTGAGAAGGTAATGAGAACTTCATCGAGGGAAATGACAATAATAAAAAAAAAGTAGGGAAAGTTGGTGCGACGGTAATGCGGATGAATGGAAAGAAATGATAATTAACTTGTTTTTGTACCTTTTAAATGTTTTATTAAGTTTTGTTAAATTATTTCGAAACAATGCTTAAAAATATAATCGAAACATAACATTATATTAGCTAAATTGACATTGTCAGTATCAAAAACAAATTAGAAACAATTTAAAAATTTATTTTCCTGTCAATTACACATTTAAAAAATATCGAGTTACAAATTAAAACAAACATCATATTATTAAGTATTATGAGATCTAAAAGAAATGTTTAAGTGAAATTATAAAAATAGGAACAAAAAACAATTATCTTGATATAATCTGCAATCAGATATTACGTAATATAATTACTTATTAGGAATTATATAATAAATCAATAAATGTAAATTCTCTCCAAAAACTATCAGTCAGTATTTTCTCACTTTTAGTTACCTCCATAAAAGTTCCATTTTTATTATTTTGAACATCTTCCCTGTCAGCTTCATCATCATTCATACTATTTTATAAAATTTTCAAAATATAGTTATCCATATTTTTCTCTTCAATATAAAACTGCTTATTTTTCCAATTAGTTATTAAACATAGTATTTGATTTTTGGTGAGTGTAGCCTGTTTTTAAATTCTTCTGGAAATTTGTTGATGCTATTATACTTGAAAATTTTTATGTCATTTGATATTTCCTCTAGTGTATATCTCATCCAGAAAACCTAAGAAGTTGTAGTGTATTAACATCTTCATTATGTAGGAATATCAACGTGTCAATATGTTTCTCGTGATTACAAATAGTAACATTATCACAGAGAAAATAAAGTTTCTCAGACTGATTTTTAAGTATCCAAATGTTTGCTTTAGATTGGATATAACCTAAGAATTTGCAAAACGAATCTACTATAACACTACTATAAATATGGACAGCTTGATCTGTATGACTCCGTCTTGCGCTCCTTTGCCATGTCCACATTCTAAATAACGCCACGTAATAGATTTTACTTGTGGAAAATCATGAAAATAATAAAGCTATTTCTGTATATCTGCTAAAATTCTAGTCACTACATCATCTTCGTAAAACTTTATCATTCTTAGCTCTATTAAACTTTTTTTTTTATAATATCAACGGGACGAACAAGTCGTGCACCTGATTGTAAGAGCTACACGCTTGTCCATAATAGTTGCAGTGCCACTCAGAACTATAGATGGCAAAGATCTGAGGGGTATTGCCACTGCACCCGTCACCCTGAGACATAAGTTGACAAGTCCCATGTGCCTGTAATATCACCAAACTATCGCTCTACCTGTCTTTGTTCCTTTTTCTCCCGTACTGTAATTTTGCCTGTGTTAAAAATTTTTTGTAATTTTTTTTCTGTCATAAGGATATGAATAAATTTATGTTTGCCCTTTTCTATAACCCCTTGTAGCCTTCTTTGATAACTCTTGAAAGAATTTCCCTAAATACAAGCTTCTTTTTTTAATTTTTCTTCTTATTTTTCATTGCTCTATAAAGCGTTTGCTGATTTGCATCCTCTTTTTTATATTTTTTTTTCTATGTCATTCTTTGGTAATCCTATTAGATTTTTGTAACGGTAGCAAAGTTTTCGAAGAATTGCTTTCGTTGGGGCAGTTCATAGATGGTCGAGGCAATGGAGTTGGTTCTTTGAGAGGGCCTTATTCCAGAGGGAATACTTCAGTATCGCTATTCGGTAGAGAAATGTATACTAAAAGCGGTATAGCATTCTCTTACTTTTTCTTTTCATAATGTTGTTTTTATTTATTCTCGATCGTGCTCTTGTTTCTTTTCTTTTATTTGCTTAGTTTTCTTCGGCATCTTTCATCATTTTTATCTGTCGGAGATATCTGCAAATATACACACGTTTCAACTCAAATAAATACACCTGTCAATGATTGTCATTAATAACTATATTAATACTATATAATAAACTATATTAATACTATATATACTAATTTTTACTAAAAAACAAAATGGTTCCCCTAAAATACATTCTAATTACCATAAATTTGGCCTCAATACCATCACTTAAAATAGCGATGGTAAACGAAAGTAGTGAAGAATAAGGTAGTGAAATTTGGGACTGTTTTTAATTTTCTCTAAAATGATAAATACATTTTGAGCTTTACGAATATTGTAAATTAGATAAATACTTACTGGTATTGATAATTAATTACATCAGAGAAAATATGAAAAATACTTTCTTATAAAAATCGACGAAAGGAAAGAGAACGTATTCAAAGTAATGTCCTCCCTCGGCACTTCAAACGATTATATCTTTTTACCATAAACGAACCTGAGTCCTCCTTGATGTTTTATGGGTACCTGAAGGATGTGTGCGGGGTACAGAAGTGGTTTAACAACATTGAAGGTCATACACAAACTCTCTCATAAAGATACTTTCAATGCACAGGTAATTAGAAAAATAATTTGACAAAAGTTCAATTATTCAAATACTATTAATATTATACAATTAAATCAAAATACATTACACCTATTCGACATATGTTTAATGTATTTATTTGTAAAGGAAGTATGTTTGTATTTAATATTTTAGTTTTTTTTTTAAATTTTAACATTTATCAGGAAAAGCAGGAAATGGACGCCGAAGGAGGTGAGATTTGGGACAGTTTATTCATGTTTATTTTGTTAACAACGTTTCTGTAACCATAAATACTACATGCATGTTAGCAACATAGTACTCTCACGTCTCCTATATTTTATAAACAATATACAAATTCTATGAAAAAAACGTGAAATTTACATTGGACGCAGAATATACACGAAACGGAAGAAACCCCTGTTAATTGCTGAACGACGACGAATTGGAGTTATCAATTTAGTTTTCCAAAAAAGAAGCGACCACATTGCAAGCTTTCGTTTTTTTTTCGTTTCGTTTCCTTGTAACAAAAAATATTTCGATAAACATAAAATTGAGAATTGATTAAAATAAGCTTATACCATCACAGGTAATATTTTTGGCAGCTATCATTTTCGTACTCCAAACCAGCACAGTAAGGCATTTTTTTTGGATTTTAGAGATTTTGCACGAAAGATTGACACAACCATACCATACAAAGCGAAAATGGCGGACTGAGCTAAACGGCGGTCTTTTGAGACCTATAGTTGGCACGCGTCAGACGCTACTGTATTTATTGTTCTGTAGCCTAAGCCCGCGCCTGAGAGGAGACCCAACAGTGGAACATATAAATGGGTTAATGTTGCAATAAAGGGGAAACATTCGAAAATTGACTGCATATTTTAAAACTAATACTCACTGTTGAACAATAACAGCTCATTAAAGTAACAAATTATAAACAATAGTGATAATACAGATAACATATTACGTGCTCATCGCAATGCTCCGTCAGTTCCTCAGCGAACGTCGTACAAGAAGTACGTTACACTGCAAATAAGATTTATTCTCAGCACGTAAGTTTCATAACGTAACGTCACGCTTTTCATGCATTTTAGGGCCGTTTATTCATTTGTCGTCACGTGATACGTTAGTTTTATTCCACTCATCACTGTATCACTCACTTGATTTCAAGATATGATAGGACTCACGCAAATTTTTTCCTTTTTTTTTATAACATCAAGTGACGGGACGACCAAGTCGTGCGCCTGATGGTAAGCTACATGCTTGTCCATAAGAGTAGAAGTGCCAGTAAGAGCTTTAAATTGCAAAGATCTGAGAGGCACTACTATTGCGCCCGTCACCTTAGACATAAGTTTAAATTTAAATGGAAAAAGCGCTAGATGCGCAATGTAAATTAAAATGTAGTAAATATTATATGATTCAGGCCCAAAAAGGTTAATATCCTAAGTTTTGTATGAAAAACGTATTTTTCTAGATCCCTTTGTTTGGAGGTGGAATATTTTCGCCAAATTTAAATGTAAACAATACTGAGGTACAATCTTTAAAGCAAAACAAAATCATCAAAATCGGTTCACAAATGCCTACTACTGACTAATCGCCTAACATACACTAAAGAAATGCAGACGAATTGAGAACTTACTCTTTTCTTGAAGTCGGTTAAAAATTTACACACGTGTTCTGTGATTGACACCGACATTAGGTAGAGAAAACTAGATTGAAAATTACCCAAACATTACGCAAAAAATTATTAGAAAAAATTTCGTCCGCAATTTTAAAAATGGAAAATCATACCCGGTTCATAAGTGTAGTGCATAGTTTCCCAAAGTTTGTAGTGGTGGGCGTTGAAATTTTTTTATCTTGCCTACGTGGGCGGTGAGCTAAAAGTTTGGGAATCTATTGTGTTGTGTAACAGTTTTATCTACTTTTACACTATATGAAATTGATTTAATGTAGTAGATACAATAACGTCAAATTTGTGTGTAATGCTCTACTTCTTGTTTATAGTCCATTTTATGTTCTAATTTCAGTATCGTTCACGGAAGCAATGAAGATCGGTTTTATCGGAGGCGGCCGATTGGCATTTGCCCTAGCCAACGGATTCATATCTGCAGGTAACACAGTTTTTATTTCAAGTAAGAGTGTTTAATCTAATTTGATTACCTTTGAAATAAAGATTTAGTAGCAATAGAGCTCTGTCTGAATAGTTCGTGCAGTACTACCACCACGGAACCCTTACCTACTTCTGCCGCCTAACAGTAATGTGAACATTATTGCGTTCCGGTTTCGTAGTGTAAGGGTGCAGGTGAAATTATAAGCACACGACACTTGACAACTTTTGGCTCAGGGTAACGAGCGCAGTGGCAGTGCCCCTCAGATCTTTGTGATTAAAAGCTCTGAGTATGACTGCAACTGGTGTGGACTTCTTCCTCCCGTCACTTAGCATAATAAAAAAAAGATTTTTTTAATTTTCAATTCGCATGTGGCCTTGATACATCAAAGGGTGTAATAAGGCCACTACTCCAAAAGGACAACTTTTCAGGAGATTTAAAGATTCTACGAACGAAATTATATTAGTATAGCCTCTTAAATAAGAGAGTTATAAAATTTCTCATTATATGCAGAATTTGTTTCATGTAATTCGTATTATTTTTATGACTTTCGTGTGATAAAAGTACTTCTGACGTATGATCACATCGCTCATGACAACTAACATAGAATTATCTCAAAAATATTGTATTTTATTTCAAAACTTGCGTTATGTAAGTATGTCATTCGTATTACGATATAATTTCAGTGATATCCTGACACTTTCAAGTGGCAGTGCTGTCAATATAACGCAATTTTCGAGATAATACTATATTGGTTGTCATGTGCGATACGAATTGTTGTCATGAATAACATTGTCGTTTGACTAATAATATCCTTAATGGGAAAGCACAAGCTGCAAAAGTGTAAAATTATTGCATGACTTTCAGGTTTGGCAAAACCCGATGAGATCACAGCGAGTTGTCATCCTTCAGACTTGGCCAGTGCCGAAGCATTTAAGGTAAACCACACAAAATAATTTGATCTAACTAAATTAGTAATTTTTTTTTCATTTTTAAATTTAAATTTTTACATCAATATCTACGTAAAAGCATGCATAGATGATGTGCAGGGTAATGTACCAAAAAGATGCAATAATACTGTATGGTATTTTACTCTTAAATGAAAACCACCTTTGCTCTACATCTTTTTAAAGTACGCAGAAATCGTACACAATGTGTATACACAAAAACTAACTCACAATTTTCATTATATACGTATTTATAAATGTAGTGAGCTCATACGTACATGCGCGAATTCTATTTTCAGTTTTTTAACGTCACTTCTTGGTAATGTAATGGAAGTTTTTTCATACTGTTTGTAAGTTGAATATTTTTGTCACAAAATAAAATTTGTTTCTTATTTACATATTTATTAAGAGAATGCAAATCAAGCAACCAAGTGGCAGCAAAATTCAATCGACGTTTCATTAAGTACGTAAGTTTTTTATTTCAACAATACGTCTGTAATACGTGTCTAAGTAGAAGCAATAAAAGATTATTATTATTTTTTATAACATCAAGTTAGGGGACGAACAAGTCGTGCGCCTGATGGTAAGTTACACGCCTGTCCATGACAGTTGCAATGCCATTCAGAACTTTAAATCGCAAAGATCTGAGGGGCATTGCCACTGAGCCAGTCACCCTTACCCTTCAAAACCAGAACACAGTAAAGCTAATATTACTGCTTGGCGGCAGAAATAGGTAAGGTGGCACTATTTCCCTGGACGAACTCTTTCACAAGGAGCTCTACTGCTACTGATTGTCTAAGGCTGTTTGTGATGGGATCTGTTTAACTTCAACTATGAACGTCTTTCGGGCTCATGATAAGGACAACCCCTTTCTTGCTTCAGAGCCTAGGATCAACAGCGCTATTCGAGAACAAACCGGTGGTAGAGAGATCTGAAGTAGTCATCGTGTCGGTGAAGCCTGATGTAGTCGTGCCAGTGTTAAGAGAAGTCAGGGACTTGCCGTCTGCCAAGAACAAGCTGTTCATTTCTGTGGCGATGGGAGTATCTATCGCTAGCATTGAGAAGGTAGGTAATCAAATCGACAGGAATTCATAAACTAGAAAATAATATTATGCCAGAAGTCCACTAATAGCTAGAGTAATTGACATATGCAACATTGGTAGTGGGTAGCTGGATATAGTGGACGAGGATCAATTTAATAGTGAGAGTGCTTACGGGCACATTCAAATTAGATGTTTCTATAACTCTTAATTTTCATACAATATCTAGTCTGCAAAAGTGACGTGCGTGTGGCGTTGTGGAGCTGCGCATCTGAAATATATTGTATCTAAATAATAGTGGAGCGAATGGCGCGCCACAGACGTGCCCCCGAAGCGCTTCTACATTCGAAGGAAGTTTTTTAAAAATCACTTCAATAAACTCGTTTATTATTATATTCTGTGTAAATATTAAAGCTACATACAGAACTTTTTGTTAAAATGAACCTAATTTAAAAAAAAAATTAAAAAAGAGTTTATTGTACACTTTGTATCCATGGCCAAAAATGCAGCCAGGAAGCTTGTCATCCTTTCCAGGGTGAGGCGTTCCTTCACACCAGGACAGTTGCTTCAGCTGTATCAAGCACCAGTCCGGTCGTGTATGAAGTACTGTTGCCACCAATGGGATGGCTCTGCTACATATTAACTGGCCACCTTGGATTCAATTGACAAGCGTGTCAAGAGGCTTATAGGTGACTCGTAATTAGTAGAGGCGAAGCTGCAGAGCCTTGAACACCTGCTGTCTGCCAGTTGAAGTTGCCTGCTTATCGGTATTTTACAGAATATATCACGGAGAGTGTGCGATGGAATTACACGACTTAATTCCGCCTTCCCCTTTCCATCATCGGGGGCTAGGCGTCGGCTTGGCTTCCACCCCTATGTTGTGGATATTCCAAAGATTCATACGATACGTTACGCTTCCACATTTATATGGCGAACGGCTATGGAATAGAATTCCCAGCTGCCTGCAGATTTGTTCCCTGAACGTTATAACTTGAATCTTTTCAAGGCGAGAGTGAATAGGCATTATCTTGGTGTATGCACACCTATGCTCCATCGTCGACCTCATTGTCACTTTCCATCAGGTGAGATGGAGGTCAAATGCACACTTACATTAGAATAAAAAAAACTTTTGCATATTATTTCCACCCTTATAAACCGCATTTTTTTAATACCAGGACTGCTATAAGTGCGTAGTCCACGAGCTGTGATTACGCATTTAGAGAAGAATTATGTCGTGATGTGCGACGTCTAAAACCAGTTAAGTTTAAGTGGAGCATTCACGAATCATGAAATCCGTAGTTACGGCCGTTTTCCCAGTATGGATGACCTACAGAATTGAGTTTCGATCGGGAGGGAATATATGACAACGCGATTTGACAGTTTCGAATGGTGTTTTCATTGGCGGACTTCGAAGTTAGTTCCGTAGGTCATCTGTAATGGGAAAATGGCAGTAATATGGATTTTGTAATTCGAGAATCTGATGGCAAGCATTAAAGAAATTTTATGCATATGTACTTAACGCTTGAACACCTACGGCTACTTACGAATATAATTCCTTCTTTTATGAATTTAAATAAAATTCATTTTAATAAAAAGTTATTTATACATTTCGACGTGAAATCTAACATATCCCTGACATACGTCTGTTATTACTTAGTTTACGAGATAACTAAATTGACCTTGATACGAGATAACAGAACAAAGTTCTCGTTGTTGTGTAATAGTCATAAACTGTAACGAAAATAACATCGCAAATAACATTATCAACTGAAAGGAAAGTATGTAGTTACATGTGTATAAATTCTTTGTCTCTTAAAATTGATCATAGAGTCTAAAGATAATACTTAGTTTTTTTTTACTTGAGCACAAATACCATTAACTCATAATCATGATATTTTTAATATTGTGATCTGGTACTTTGATCCTGTTTTCGCGATGTTACATATGGGAAATTAAACTATTATAGACAATCTATTATTGTCTTTTTTTTTGGATAGCAAGTGATATAGAGTCAAGAGCACGTCGGGTTTGACGCAAAGGATTTGGTGCCGTTTTCATCATAAGCGACATAATTAAATCGCGTATATTTATTAAACAATAAGTTATTTCAAACAAATTAACGTTTCGGGACCAGTACAGAGAGCTTGAAACATTGGTTTGTTTGAGAACACAAATATACAAGATTTAATGTCCCTTACGATAAAAACGGTCCCAAATCCTTTGGGTCAATCTTGACGTGCTTTTGACTCTATATTACAGTGCTTTTGACTCTGTGTTATCTGACGTAAATACGCACATATTGATCATATATCTATATATGTATGTTCATGATTTGCGGTAACCACTGGCTAACAAAATCACAAGACAATGTAGAGAACACTTGATAATACCGTGTTTTCTCAAAAAATGCGTTATATTATATTTTCTTTCAAAATTGCGTTATATTTATAATTTATCTTCAATATTTCGCTATATATGATATTTGTATACGATTTAATATCAAAGTGACAGGACAGCACTGTCGCTTTGAAATTAAATAGGTAATATTAATGTAACTTAATACAATTTTGAGATAATACTATGCTAGTTTGTATCATACAGGAGATACTGACACGTAAAACAGGATACGTTACAATTTTGTCACTACATACAAATGTATTGGCAAGATCTTTGTTTAACGAAATGCGTCTGGGTGGCTTGAGTCGTTAGAAGAAGCTAAGGGTACTATAACGTTGAATCAGTACAATACAGTCAGCCAAATAATGAGTAAGGAAGAAAATCTCACAGGACTTTTTATTCCAAACTACAATAAACTGTAGCACAGATCTTTTATGGTACAAGGACTGATCACAGTTGGTTACAAAATAATATTATATATATTACTAATCTTTGTAATTTCTATAATACATACCTATTCGATGTAACAAATGTATGAATTTTAGGCCCTCCCTCCAGAAGCGCGTGTAATACGCGTAATGCCAAACACACCAGCGTTGGTCAAAGAGGGTGCTGCAGCACTTGCCAGAGGATCAAAAGCTACCCCTAACGACGCGGATCTTGGTCGAAAACTGTTCAGCTCAGTTGGCACTTGTGATGAAGTACCAGAATACCAGATGGATGCAATTACGGCTTTGAGTGGGAGTGGGCCGGCTTATGTGAGTAAAATTTTTTCTAGCATTTTTTTATGATATCAAGTGATGGGACCAGCAGTTGCAGTGCCGTCCAGAGCTTTATATCGCAAAGATCTGAGGGGCACTTCTGCGCCTGTCACCCTGAGACATAAGTTGACAAGTCCCATTTTCACCTGCACCCTTAACCCTTCAAATCAGGAACGCAGTCATGCTCATATTACTGCTTAACTGCAGAAATCGACTCATCCAGAGAACAGAGTCTGATGTGATTATACAAAGGAAATATGATAAATTTATAATCTCCTTATTTAAAATAAGGCCTATCTATAGGTGTTTTCATATTTTTTATATCTTATTTCGTTTTGGACATATAAAATCGAACACCGGTCAACCTGATATACACAGTGAAGAACAACGAACCAAATGTATAATGTTCTGAGAATAAACAGAATTGCAGATAGGCCTTTGTTTTACGGATGAGTCGAAATAGGTAAGGCGGTAGTAGATACTTCCCTGGACGAACTCTTTCACAAGAAGCTCTACTGCTACTAACTATATGTATTATTAGGTATACATATACTTTATACTTATGTACTTATTAGGCGCTTCAAAAGACAAAGGCAACAAATAAATTTAAGTAGATTCAAGGGACTTACGTACAATGCAACGGTCAACAATATTTCTTGCATACTTATTTATTCATATATTGCCACAATTATAACTGTTTCTGCCGCGTTAGTTCCGCGTCGGAACTCGTATTCAAAAATCACTCGAATTTTCGCAGTATCCATCTTTCTTGTCTAAATTGAATAACAAAAAGAATTGAAAGTCGATATTCAAATGTTTCAAATTAAAAAAAAAAATCACAGAAACCATTTGAAAAAAGTTTCATTCGAAAACCTCAAACCATGAAGATTCTATGAAAATTCAAAGAACCTATTGCAATAAAACGGCAATTTCATACTTTAACCCCTAATATTTAGATAGCTTACTAAAGTTGTATATTATTTTTCCTAGGTGTATATGATGATAGAAGCATTAGCAGAAGGTGGAGTCAGATGCGGACTTCCCCGCGACCTGGCTCTCAAGTTGGCCTCACAAACTACGCTAGGCTCGGCCGCCATGTTGCGTACCGGAGGCCATCCTGCTGTCATGAAGGACAATGTGACTAGTCCAGCCGGATCTACCGCTGAAGGAACTTACTTTTTAGAAGAACATGGTAAATTCTTCATAATTCTTATTTAGTTGAATGGTTTGACTACACTGTGGGATTTTTTCTAAAATTCCAACAAATATATTTGCATTTTTAATGCAAATTGATATACATATATATTAATTAGTTTTGATGATAATTTTCATGACGCGTACTTTACCTTTTTAATCCATTTATTTATTGTAATAAGTTTGTTTATATTTTCAGGGTTCCGTGCTGCAGTTATAGGGGCGGTGAAATCAGCCGCAGACCGATGTAAAGTAGTCAATCAACAGCTTAACAACTGATATTGGATCATTATGTCATAGGGCAATTAATTTATAAAATTTCTGTTACAATAAAATATTTTATTCTTGAATGGAACGTTTCGTATTTTTTTATCATATTTGAAGAGTTAAGAAATATACAGCGCCACGTTGGAATTTATTGAAGAACTATTAACTACGCCATCTAGTGACGAAGGACCGAATTATTTCAAGACCATAGACACTTTTATGTCATTTCTGTCCAATTCCAGTGTAACTTCTATTCATCGCTAGATGTCACTGATTCGGTTTTCCCCATTTATTTTGACAGTTTAAAATTTTATCTGTGTGCCGTGCAAAACTGGTTTTGTCATAGAGGTTTTGTCTTTCGTTCGCAACGGCTCCGGTGTAGTGAATAAGTTATGTTTATGAAAGGAAATAAATAGCATTGTGGCTCAGTGAATCCGCGACCTTGTGCCGTATTAAATAGTCACATTGTACTGTTGTTGTTACACCCGGTGCTCATGTTTACTTGTTATCAGGCGACAGGTTTACGATCGAGCGGCATCAGACATTTCAGAGTTTATTTAGAGAATTAGAAAGAGAAACAATATGCAAATAGAAGTTGGTAGTATCACGAAGGTTCCTAAGAATCGGTGCGAACTGGGCTGACCTTCCTTCTGTATAAAGAAATCAACCCACGCTGGCCATTGAAGAGACTCCTACGCTCAGCCGATGATGTGAATTGCGTCGTGGACACACTTATAAAACTAAAATGAGAATCAAACTAGAGGAGCTTAAACGTTTCTCCACTCGGTGCCGTGTTTGTATTTAAGTTTACAGTGAAGATTTCTCAGTTTTCGTGGTTGGTGTTAAGTGCTCATCATCGATGTTGGTTCGGTGATTTATTTGTGCAAATACCTGTTGTTTCCGACTAATGTCAAGGCTGATGCCAATAAAACGCTTCAAGTGGCTTCTTCACTAGCACTGGTAAGATTTATTTCTTATCTCACACAAAGTCTGTAAACCCTATCTTCATTATGCAAATACCTCCAATAAGATACTGACTAAATTGAATTAAATAAATTTATTCTACTATTTGAAAATTAACCGTTTTAAATCTGATACACAGTTGGCTAAAGAAATATTACATGACATAAGACAGGAAAAGCAAAAAGGAATTGTAACATACCACTTTCCAACAAGGTCTTTTTTAGGAAGGCTGCTTTGCCATATGTTTCTTGCATTTTGCAACACAGTGTAGTTAGAACAAATTTAGATTGAAATTTATTTAGTAAGAAATGCAACTCATTATATTACATTTCAATAAAATAATTATTAAAAAGAATAAAGATTTTCATGAATAATATCATCGGATGTGAGGATTAAACAATTGTTTTGTTTACAAAATACTGTATATTTTTCTAAATTGATACATATTGAGGAATTTTGATCTCTTTTTAGAAATAGATCAAGATTTTTCAATATGTCAGTTGTCAGTTAGTTGACCCTTTTAATTTACTGGAACACACTACTGGAAAGTAACATGTTACTTAACATAATATGAAATAAAAACGTACAATCTAATATGAGACCTATGTCACAATATAGGTCTCATATTAGGTTTACTTAAACAATCACTATCAACCTCCTCTTTGCACCAGCTTTGTGGATTATTCCCTAAACCCCGTCGTAACGGAGGACTATTACCCATTAGTGGGTCTTATATAGGACATTGTTGTTTTGATTATAAAAGACTTTAAATATTCCAATAAACTAGTTCATCAATAAATTGACAGCCTTATCTTATATAGCACAGGGGACGACAGCTTGATCCTGGACACATTTTATTATGAGCAGTCCATAAGATGAACCATTTTACCCATTTTCCCTTAAGACATTCAGCCATTGTTGTCCCTTTAGTCTACATTATTGTACTATATTAAGGTTCATCCTATGGTTTTAATGTGTTGGCCTATAGATAATGAATATTAAATGTCTCTTCTTCTCTCTAATATTTAACCTCCCACTTGTCATCGAGGTATACTATTCATAGTAGTCTTCATAAATATTTGAAAAATATCATTTCTTCCCAGGTACCAAAAGCCTGTGACTACCATGGGAATCCTGTCGGTTTCAAGCTGGAGAACGCGGCAATAGTTACAGATAAGCGGATCCAAAAACCCGTCAAAATAAAGAAATCAACATTCCTATGTTACAAAGTGAGGATGGATGAAAGCGATGTCATTATATCATCTACAGAAATAATAAAAGGTAAGTTTTATATAATAGTTAACATTTGAAATTTTAATAATTAACTGCTTGATGCACGTCACACATTATAATACAATTTTTTTTATCAAAGATATTACATAGAGTAACTAGAACACAGAAACACTTTGATTCATAAGAATGAAATGACAAATCATAAAGTGTTTCTTACATGTATATAAACTTTGTATTGAAAAATAAGTTTAATAGTGTTTCATTCTTACATGTACAGTTTAAGTAATAAATCTCTTAGATAATGTCTCTTGAAAATATTGCATTGTTTGGCAGAAAATCTTTTACAACTTATTTTGTAACAACAAAAGAACTACAAAATAAATATATTTCTTACTTGTATTTCTGTCACCATTTGTGTAACAAAGTCTAAATTTTATGGGAGGTAAAAAGTTAATTATATAATTATTTTTATACAATAGATAATAGATCACATCATTCACAGTTGATAGATAGCTCATGGCACAGGGTGATAGCTACTGAAATAAATTGTTTGAAAAATAGTGGTGTGGGAGTTTGTGGACTAGCATGGGTAGAATATTTTATAATGGCAAATATAATTTTATTATAACATGTGTCACGTAATTCAATTTGCTTGAATTCAACCTACTGTCTCATATTGATAAAATAATTCTGTCCATGTACTAAATATTAGTTGTATTAAATTTACTGTATGCCATTTTTGTTGAACTGTTTCTATTAGACAATTTTATTTTAATATTCTCCAGAATGCTAAGTAATATACCAAATGTGTAATTTATTTACTTTAATTATGATATTGAGAATATAATTAAAGTATGAGCGAAACTGTTTTATATCATGATAATAATTTACCTTCAACAGTTCAATATTTTTAGTCTATAGGGTTACTGGCTAACGGGAGCGACTTTCGCGAAAGCGACATAAAGTGCGAGATGCTACTATTCTCGCATAGAGTATTTCGCGCTATGTCGCTCTCGCACAATTCGCGCCCTGTCGTGCTAGCCCTATTGGCGTGCAGTAGCAATCTTCTGCAATTTGCACTTGTACGCACCTTCACGTTATGTGCACTGTCTCATGTACAACGTACCTACCGACCTACCGTACGTACGCGCCGACGTCCCATAAATGATAGACATGTCGTAGGTATAATAAATAGTTCGTTAGTAATATGAATAAAGGTATATGTAGAATATATAGCATAAAAACCTTCAGAGTACGCTAATCTGTTAAAACAATACTCTTACAGTACCTACGTGAATTGATATCAAATAAGCCAGTCTAGAGTTGAAAGATCGACATTGAATATCGATAATTCGATACTGACTGTACATAAACACGAATATAAATTGTGCAATTCGTCTATCCATATCTCCTATTATAGTATTGTCGTAACTAGCATGTGGTATTTTGTCGGGGACAAAGTATTTTCCATTTATAACTTCAAATTTTTGAAGTGTAGCTCGTATCAAAATGCCAAATACGATATAATAATTAAATTTGTGGGGCGATTTGTGTTAATTTGGAATCTGTTTTAATCGGGACGATTTTTAGCTATGTTTGATGAACATCTGCGTAGCTGTTTAAAGATCAACCCAGAACAGCTCTGCCCAGTTAATGGAGGGATCTCAATCGTATAATGTGTGGGGGATTTTTTACATTTTTTAATTGTTTTTTTTTTTTGTAAATCTATGTATGTAATGTAATATTGGTATAGGGACATTTGTTTTTTTTATTTGGTTCTATAAGCAGATATTATCATATATATTTTTAGTTTTTATGACCATATGATAAACACCTTTGATGGAAGCTATTTTATTTCTTTGCATGACTGTTAGGGTGTTTTTCGTCAATTTAGCAATGTGATTGTGTTTCTGATCAACTTCGTCGTCTTTTCGAAACGCGCAGATATTCATGGATCTCAGTCCTTTATCGAACCTCGGTGCGGCACTTAAAATGTCGATTAAAATGTAAATAAATAAAATATGGAGCATTTGATTACGATCTTACGTAATCGTAGAGCAGATTCAGGTATAGCGCCACACTGGTCCAGTCTGTGCTCGATAGAAGTCTGAAGTACATAAAATTTGTCGATATAGTTTCAAACTCTAGTATAGGCACTTGATGTCACACAACACCGAATCTGGCCTTGTTGGTTCCCCATGACTGAATTCTGTGAATTTATTTATTTGCATTCATTCAGTTTGTTTATACACCTTTTGTTTAACATTTTGATTTCTTACTACAATAATCCTTTTTATCCCTAGACAACTAATTTTTCATAGCTTCTTATTAGTGGAAACACAGATTACATAGTAACCAAACATTAGGCATACAAACATATTGTTGGATTGTCTATTTATTTACTTACATTTACTAAAACATGACATGTTTTTTAATATCATATTACTATAGGTACTATAAATTATCACACGGGCATGCAAACGTGAATCTAATAAATAAGTCAACGTTGGTAGTGATTTGGGTCGATATAATAATAATAATAATAATAGTAAATTATAACTATAGTAGTACTCGTTTATATGTTTTATTGTATTTCTGATTTACTTTTAATTAATGACTAATAAACTTACTTTTAAATTAATAAATTTACGATTAAATTAATAAATTTACTATTGAATTAATAAATCATTAAATTAAAGAGTAAATTAAAATCTCTTCTTCCAGCCATTGCGGTCATCGACATTTTCACGTAATCTAATTGATTACAATAAAGTAGTTCTGATTCATACTAGAGCATTTAAATTCCTTGAAGAAATTGTTTTGTACAATAAATTACTACAATTTGGAGTGTACGTTAAACTAATTTATAACACAGTTTACGCAGCGCCATTGCGGTTGAAGTAGGCTTTGTTAAAAAATTCATATTACCGGAAGGTAGAGCATTAGGTCATGCAGCGAAATGTATCTCGCTATGTCTTCAATGTATATTGGTCTAACAGCTCAGTCCATCACTGTGTATCTAGACGTTTTATTATTAAAGTGATTAAGGAATAATGCTAGACGGTCAACAAGCAGGGTTGCCAAACTTGGAAGTTTGCATGCCATAGGAAAAATTCCAAGTTCTTAGGGTATTCACGATTGCTACACGTTAGAAATGATTTTTTTATTTGGATCTAAATGGCGTGTATTTGTTTTTTCAAACAAACAAACGGTACTAGCTTTTACAGGTTTGAAGGTTACGTCTGACAGCCTTTTTTCAATTTGGTTTCATTAAAAATATTAGACAACGTCGCATACGTTGCTCCGATCCCTAAGTAAGGAACTAAAGCACTTGTGTTGTGGAAATCGGAAACAACGACGGCACCACAAACACCCAGACCATATAGAAAAGTTTTTCTACATTGACCCTGCCGGGGATTGAAACCGGGAACTCAGAGATACCAAGAAAACTGGTGTGCAAACCACTCGACTACAGAGGTTGACTGATTTACTTTATTTTGTGTAAGATTTGAAGTCGTCTCAGTTTGCTAGTCTGTGGTGCCAGTGCTATTGCTCACAGTAGATATCTTGTATAATACCACTACCAATGTTATTCGACTTGGCAAATGTTGATTCTTTTAATACCAAAACTTGTTTTACTGCGTTTTGACGCTCTTTGCTGGTATTATAGGTATACAATTTGGTAGAAATAACATTGAAATCTAATATTCCCATCGTTACGAGAATACAATTTTGTCTCGTACGTCATACATACGTGAAGTTTTTTAAATATAGCAACGCAGGGCAGAAACCATTCGTATATTAGATGCAGACTTAGCTTTCAACTCTACTCCTCTATGCTCATCAGCACCGCGTCTGGAGAGTCATTGGAGAAGCGGGAATAACTGTTTTGCTAGTTCAAATGGTTTAAGTATTTAATGTGAAATAACGGCCATACAAAAAAAATTACGATACACCTAAGGATATTGTCTAAAGAATGTGCTAATTTGTTACACGAAAAGATGTGCTTTATCCGATCATATAAAATCTTGAAGACAGGAAAAAATAAAAGTTTTAAAACGGATTATTTGTGAATAAAATGTCTAATTTTATACATATTTTTTTATATGCAGACATTTCTGTTTAAGTACGACAGAGAACCTGCTAAATTTTTGGTTTTTAACTTGAACCTTATAGTTACTAAATTCACATTTATCTCAAAATTTGCAAATTGTTCAGCGGATTAACGACACGACGCGCCGCCCGCTGCTACGTCAGTCGCTATTGGGCACTTGTCGGATCTGTGTCAAATTTTGTCAGCCTGTTCTTATTTTATTCACATTAATTTCCACCGCGCGGAATGCTGGATGCGAGAAGCGACTCACGCCCGCCACACCTCACCCCCTGAAATCTTGAAATCTGGGCTTGTGTTGAAATACCTCGCCTTAATGAATTATCATCAGCAGGCTTCATGCAATCGCCTATGAATCCCAAGTGTAGCGATGCAATCGCGCGTGTGTAGAGGTAGACGACTAGCTACTGCATCGCTATTGCATCGCTGCCAACTTTCGAGATATTGGCACTTAAAGTTTTTTATTATTTGCTTAACAATGGAACTGAAACTCAATAAGATACAAAAAATAAACGCTGATAGAGGGTTGTAGATCTCGCTTTTTCTAGACATGTTAATAACTCAATTTATCTAAAAATGTCGATTACGTTAGTTACGATAACCAGGGCAGTGTATCTGAAGTGGTGCCCCACAGATTGTGACACACTGTTGTTGTCCGGTACGTTCTAATACTATCACGTATAATATCACGCACACTTTTCACTGTCTTTGAATTCCGTAAACGACATACTTAGACGATAGACGACGTAATTACCATAACTTCACCGCTGCGAATTCTTTTATCACCATTAAAAACTTTTCCGCACTAAAAATGTTTACCAAAAGTTTACCGAAGTAGCTAGCGATCGCGTAATAAATTTTGTATAGTAAATTACACGGCACCCCTAGCGTGTTTTACATAAAACATTAAACTTTGCGACAAAGTATTTCACGCGGC